ACTATCAACCAGGTAGATTCTGGTTATATCCATTTTTATAGACAAGGAAAAAAAAAAGTGAGGAATATTATATAACTTTTCTAAGATGAGGGTCTGAGATCAGAACACAGGCAATCTGGTTCAGATTCCCTGCTCATATTTATTAAAATGATAGTCTCAAAAGAGACAAAAAGTTCTTAGTTTTCTGATGCTTTGTTATTATTTTTAAATTTTAGGTTAACAGTTATTGAATATTACCAGATGCTTTTCAAGCAACTGTTAGAATGGTGTGTTGTTTTTCTTCTTTAATCTATTAATATAGTAACATTAATATCTTTTTCATTTTGAACTATGGTAGTCTGTTTCTGTCTACAGAGGCTATAATCCAAGATGTTTCAAGGACATCTGAAACCATGAATACTACTAAACCCATAAATGTTATATTTTTATACATGCATATTTATGAATATGCATGTATAAAAAATATGTATATTAGGCACAAGAAGAAATCAACAACAATAACTAATAATAAGGTAGAACATAATAATAATATACTATATTAAGTTATTTCAAACTTAAGAATTTTTTACTTCTGGAATTTCTATTTGATATTTTCAGACCTTGATTGACTATAGGTAACTAAAACCATGGCATGGAAAACCATTGCTATAGGTTTATATGCTTACATTTTTAAGCTAAGTACTTGTTAGTGTTTACATTTTGGTTTTGTTTTCAAATGTATTCAGGCTTTTTCACACAAATGTTCATAATAATTTTGACAATACTTTTGTTATGTAATTTTTATTTATTTGGTATCCAAATGTATGTGCAACTTACATTTCTGACCAAGATGGAATAACAGGGAGTGGATTTACTCCTATACCTGAAACAACCAAAAAACACATATAAATATTAAAAAAGACTGAACATCAGATGATGAAATATAATGATGTTGATTTATTTGGTTTTGGGAATTGAACCCAGGGCCTCTTAACCATTGAACCACATCCCCAGTGTGCCCCCCCACACTTTTTAAAATTTTTAGTGGTAAATTGACACAATACTTTTGTTTATTTATTTATTTTTATGAGATGCTGAGGATTGAACCCAGTGCCCCACATGTGCTAGGCAAGTACTCTACCACTGAGCTACAACCCCAGCCCCCCATCCCTTTTTATTTTTTGAGACAGGGTCTCAGTTGCCAGGGGCCTCACTGAGTTACTTGGACTGGCTTTGAATTTGCAATCCTGCCTCAGCCACCTAAATTATCTAGGATTACAGGCACACGTCACCAGGCCAACCAAGACAGTGATCTTGAGAGATGAGAAACAAATGAGGTGAACCCTGCAGTTGCCCTTGCTCACTGCATTGAGACATTTTAAGCTATGACACAGGTAGGAAACCCAAGACTGAGACTATTGGATACTATTAATTTGAAGGATGTATCTGGGGAGGCAAAAGTGGCTAGTAGAGTCAATAGAACAAAATAATAAAGAAAAGAGGACACTACAGAGAACTTCGGAAAGGTTCAGAGGTCCCTTTCAACTATTCAGCTGATTAATGATCAATGTGAGCATATAAAGAAACTACTGAAGGGCCAGGGGAAAAAAACTGAAAAAAAAAAAAAAAAAAAGAATTAGAAGTAACAAGGCCTGACAAAGTCTGAAATAGTACCTGTTCTGACCAGCCAGGTTAGAAAACATATTGGTTCCTGGGATATTAGGGAGGATATACAAAAAAGTCTTACCTCAATAGAAGGAATATAATTAGCCCCAGATGTCATCTCTAAAAAGCTCAACAAACTTCAAGTGTAAGAAACATGATGAAAACTATGCTAAGGGGCATCACAAAAAGGTTGCTCAGTCGCTCAATCAAACTGATAACATATAAATCCTATACACAGCCTGAGGTATAAAAAGACCTTTAATGCAAAAGAATAAAGAAAGGCATGATAGCTGATTTTTTTTAAAGTGCCCACAAAACACTGATTTCAAGACTTGTAAAGCTATAATTATCAAGACAGTGTAGTAGTTGCATAAAGATAAGCAAATAGATTAATGGAATAGAACAGGATTTGGCAAACTGCAGCTCACCTCCTATTTTTATAAAGTATAATAACACAGCAATCCCCATTTATTATCTTGGCTACTTTTGTGTCACAACAGTAGATTGGCAATTCCAGCAGAAACCTCATGGCCCTCAAAGCCAAAAATATTTACTTTCTATCCCTTTACATAAAAATTTGACAAATAAATCTATATATATATATATATACACAACTAATTTTTTTCAAAGGTGCAAAAGGCAGTTCTCTTAAGACGGAATAGCATTTTCAAAAAATGGTGCTAAAGTAATTGGTTATTCATATTACAAAATGAATTAGATTTCTGCTTCATGCCCTATATAAACATTAATTCAAATGATTCAAAGACCTAAACATAAAACCTAAAACTTGGAGAAGAAAACAAGAGAAAGAAAACCTTGTGACTTTCAGAAAATATTTCTTAAATACAACACTAAAAGCAGAGTCCATTAAAATAGACTTCATTAAATCAGACCTTCTGCTCTTCAAAAAACAATATTAAGAAGATGACTAAACCGCAGGGAAAAAATTATGTGCAAATAAATTTTCTAACAAAGGCCTTGCATTCAGAATATATTTTTAAAACTTTCAAAATTTAGTGATAAGAAAACAAGAAACCTAATTAAAAAATAGACAGACTATTTGAACAGATATATCACCAAAGAGAATATATAGCTGAATACACACTTAACCAAATGACCTAGCAATTCCACTCCTGGTATTTCCTCCCCCAAAATTAAACCCTCTGTCCTTACAAAGACTCAGCGCTAAATTACAGTAAATTTTGAATATACATATTCAAAAATGGAAGTGTTTCTTCATCTGATATATGTCAAGTGCTTTCTATGCTAAGTATGATTCTAGATTCTAGGAATATAGCAGGGAACAAAATAGACAAAATTTCTACCTTATATGCTTACATTCAGTTTTGGTAATATAGACAATGTATTCATTTCCTAGGGCTACTGTAACAAACTACCACAATCTGGATGGCTTAAAGCAACAGAAATTTATCCTCTCAAGGTTCTAGAATATAGAAATCATGAGTCTAGAAAGAAGCATTTACCTCTTCCTAGCTTCTGGTTACAGCTTTCTTAGCTTGCAGCAGCATCATTCCAGTCTCTGCCTTTTTTGTCACGTGACATTTTTCTGTGTGTCTTTCTCTTCTTAAAAGGACAGCAGTCATGGCATACTAACAGCCCATCCTATTCCAGTATGACATCTTAACTAATTACATCTGCCATGGCTTTATTGCCAAATGGGTCACATTTTAAGGTATTGGGAGTTAGGACTTCAACATATCTTTAGGGGAATGTGATTAAACCCATAACAGACATTAAGCAAAATAAGTACATTATATGTTATTCTAGAACAGAGGTTGGTAAACTGGCCTGTGGACCAAACCCAGCTTGCAGTCTATAAAGTTATATGGAAACAGCCGTGCCTAATTGTTTGCATATTAACTATGACTGATTTTGCACTCCAGTAGCAAAGTTGCCTAGTTGCACACTAAATCTAAAATTTATTATCTGACCCTTTACATAGAATATTTGCCATCCTGCATAGTAGGTCTTAAGTTTATGGAGACTAAAATAGGAAAAGAGCCAAAATAAGCAATACATTGTCATCAGGGAAGATCTCTATATTAGGGGGAATTTGAGCAAAGGCTATAAGAATTTTCTTTCCCCCAGACCTGGGAATTGAACCCAGGGGTACTCTACCACCGAGTAACATCCCCAGTCCTTTTCATTTTTATTTTGAGGCAGTGTCTCCCTAAGTTGCTAAGATTGGCCTTGAATTTGTAGATCCTCCTGCCTTGATCTTATGAGTTGCTGGGGTTATAGGCAAGTACCACTGCACCTGGCAGGAATTAATCTTTGTATTAATATAGATGTGCAATATATAGTGTTAAGTGAAAAAAGCAAGTAATAGAATATTTATCACTTGTGATCCTATCTTTGTAAAGTAGAAAAGTATATATTTAAGCAATATAAAGTTATAATGTATTCATAGAAATTTTTGCAAGGCTATTTGGTAGAATTACAGGGCATTTCCACCTGGCATTTTTCTGCTTTTCACTTAAAATTTTTAAAATATTATAAATATGGTTTCTTGTGTTATTAAATTATATCAAAGGCTTAATGTGTTTTACACAATGATGGAGGATTCCATTCTTTGCCCAAGTTTTAACTTAACTATATTTCAAAAAGGAGCCACCACTACTCATGCTAGAATTTAACCTAATGTGTTTTAAACAATGATGGAGGAGTCCATTCTTTGCCCAAGTTTTAACTTAACTGTATTTCAAAAAAGGAGCCACCACTACTCATGCTAGAATTTAACCTAGCACTGAGCAAACCTTAAAATGAATTTGTGTCTACAGGCATAGAATACGTTGGCAGTTGGAAAATCAGCAGTTTTAATTTAGTGCTATCAAAAGACAAAAAAGTTAGGATTCTGTCAAAGCACTGCCTTGCTGCTTTTGTTGAATTCAGCAAAGCATCCCTTTCACATTTCTGTGGTATTCCATAGATATTAAGGAATTTGGAATTAAGTGTAAGTGAGCCTTAGTGTTTGCAAGTGTGTATCTAAACATACTACTGGGCTGATGTGGTCCCAATTTCTCTGAAACTGTGACAGAAGGATCACTTGAGCCCAATAGTTTCTGGCGGAAGGAAGGAAGGAAGGGAGGGAGGAAGGAAGGAAGGAAGGAAGGAAGGAAGGAAGGAAGGAAGGAAGGAAGGAAAAAAGGAAAAAAAAAGCTAGGCTATTTAGTATTCTTACACAAGTGTTTTATTCTGAAGTTCAGAAGGTCTCTAAAATGGGATACTTTGTGCAAACCTGGAAACCTAATAGCAGATAAGGATTTTAGAAGCACATGTATAATAAATGTTACCAATATGTTGGCTTTCTGAACAAGGCTGTTCTCTCTTTACAGCAAAACCCAAAAGAAAGAACATGACATTTGGAGGCAGAAGACTTAGTTTCAAATTCCTGCTCCTTCACTTACTAATTTTGTGATTTGGGGTAAGTAATTTGTCTCATCTGAACTTTTGTCTTTTCTTTTCAAAAGTCCAGTAAATAATCTCTTTCCTACCCACCTGATTCCCTAGGATAGTAAGAGAATCAAGTAAAATAATTTATGTGAAAGTATTTTGTGTAAGGTAAAATAGTATCCAAGTGTTAATGAACTCGTAATTGGTTCTAGTGAAATACAGCTGAGGGTAGATCATTTTAAGTAATTAGTTTAATTATTTAATGTAGATATGATCAGCATTTTGCAAATTTATTTAAATTAACAATGTACTATAAAAGATAACAGAAATTTTCCTCATCCTAATCCCTGTTCAACTTAATACTCAATACATGGTTTTGCTTTTTTTTTTTAATATTTATTTTTCAGTTTTAGGTGGACACAATATATTTATTTTTATTTTTATGTGGTGTTGAGAATCGAACCCAGTGCCTCACGCACGGTTTTGCTTTTTATTTTATAATTATACTTCACGTGCTATTCTACAATTATAGTAGTAATTTTACCATGGTAACAAAATTCACATTGATATTCCTCCTCATGTGTAATGTAATTCTGATGCATCTTTTCATGGTTTTTCTTTGTTCTTGAGTTATATTTTTAAGAAAAAGAAAATAACAAAAGTCACAATTATGGCCAATAAAAATAATTTATAAGGAGTCACAACTACTAAATATTCATCAATTGTATCTCTACACTTTTCCTCCTACCTAAGAAAATCCATGGAAATCAAAGTAAATGAGAATAAACAACTGTAACAGTTATCTCATATTCCAGTTTTTTAAATAAGTCATTCATAAACTTTGTTACTTTAACATTAATAGTAGCAAATTACTTATGATATATTTCATAGCTACTTTTAACACTGTTAGGTTGAACTACCATGGTTGAAGAACTACTGTCATAGAAGAATCACTCATTTCTTTGCTTTGTCTACAAGTCATGATTTGGCTTTATAGATTCGCAGATTATAAGGAAAATAAATGTATTCAGGATTGTTGCAATATATGCATAGAAAATTATACAGGAAGTGAGGAGAGGGTAGTACTACTAATAGAATTTTAAATTGAGTGTTTACTGTCAATAAAATGAAAGGGAAAAATAAGCAGAATATTGTTAGTTCTGTGAATTTTAAAACAAGATGAACTCCCAAATAAAGTTAACTGTATTGCATATATTTTATAAAGTGCTGCTGTTATCTCCATCTCTTAGAATTATATATGAAATCAAGTGCTTTAATAGATGTTCCCTCTCACATCTCAATAATAATCTTTAAAATTAGGAAACGGTACTTTGTGCTATAACTGCGAATATGAATCCCCTCTTTGCTTGTGTCCTTTTACTTGTGTCTCACGCACTGCTCAGTTAAATGAGTGCTTTGAAGTAATCATAAATGTTTACACTATAATCATAAATATTTTGTTTTGAATTTTATTATAAGAATATGGTACATCAATAGAAAGATGGACAGTTTTCCAGAACTGTAGAGAAATCTTTACAATGTTAGCCGAGGTATTTGGTGGAATGAGTGGTCAGGTTCACATTACCACACATATTTTCTTTGTTTTCTGTTTTCATGAGCAGTTAAACATTGTGGTAGAATTTTCTAGTATGGGGCTATTGAAAGTGCTCCCCCCACCACCTTTTTTTTTTTTTTAACCTTGCATGGAATCAATTTCAGGGCCTTGCACATGTTGACATGTGGTCTGCCACTGAACTGTGTCCCCATTCCTAAGTTAGACTATTTAAGTTGGGGAGTAAGGGAAGAAACAGGTGGAAGAAAATGGCCTCTGCAACTTAATTCTTTTATACCTCTCCTAATGTGGTCTAAACAGTTCATTATCTGTTTTGTACAAAGTGATTTACATGGTTAGGAAATATATAGTCAAGTTAGAACTATAATTTTTAAAAATATTTTTTTAGTTGTAGTTGTACACAATACCTTTATTTATTTTTATATGGTGCTGAGGATCCAACCCAGGGCCTTACGAGTGCTAGGTGAGTGCTCTAAGTGTAATACTTTGAAGCACCAATCAAAAAGTCCATAGTTTTACTTAGGAAAAAAAGTTTACACATTCTTTTTTATTTAAATTGTATGTTTCATAACTTGAAAGTAAGGCCTTGCACATGCTACGCAAGTACTCTGCCACTAAGCTACATTCCCAGCCCAAACTGTATTTTTGTATAAGTACTAAAGTAAAATTGGTGCATCATTGAAAAATTCCAAAGAAAGTATAGTAGAGAGTTTCCCTCCCACCCCAGTTTCTCAAGCACCCCGTCACAGCCAACATTAAATTTTTATCCCTTCTAGAAATATTTTATTCATAAATAATGAAATTAGCATATTTTGTTTTCTTTTTAATTTTGTTTACCGACAGACAATAGCAGATATTCATTCTGTGCCTTAATAATATACTTTAGATTATGTTATGTATCTATAACACAGGATTTTGGAGGGTACTAATGGGGATTGAACCCAGGGGTATTTTACCAGTGAACTATATTCTCAGCCCTTTTTTGTATTTTTTTTTTTAAGACAGGTTCTTACTAAGTTGCTTAAGGCCTCAGCCTTCCAAGTAGCTGGAATTACAGGCACACACAACTGTGCCCTGCCTAGAATTTTTTTTTTTTTAATGACTACATGTATACAGTGTTTAGGCATACCATAATTTAGTGGCCTATCAAAAAATTTTAGGTTATTTCAACCCTTTACTGTTGAAAAGAGTACTGCAGTGAATAACCTTATACATGTGTTGTTTTACTCATATCTGAAAGATAAAATAACTAGAAGTAAAATCATTAGACTCAAATGTATATGTATTAATTTTTAACTGATATTGCAGTATGCTTTATATGGCTATGCACCTTATCTGGGTACAGCCATCTTTGTTTTTAATTAAGATCTAGTTTACAAACAATAAATATTTAGTTTTAAGTGTACGATTTATTAAGGATCTAAATTAATTTGTGCTGTAACCTGCAAGTGTCTAATGAGGCCTTTATTTTTTAGTCTCACAACAATGTTGATAACTTTCTGGAATTTATGTTTTTGTCAATATTATATAGGTAAGAATGGTATAGAGATCGTTTTTGGTTTGTTTTTGTTTACTTTCATATGTAGTAAAGTCCAGACCTCATGAGCATACAACCCAATGAGTTCTTAACATTGCCCAGGTCAAAATACAGAACCTGCCCCACACCTAGAATGTTCCCTTTTGTCCTTTTCCCTACATAAAAATAGCTGCTCTTTGACCTCTATCACCAAAAGTTAAATTTTGCTTGTTTTGAACTTAATATAAGGGAAATCATGTGGGGTGTACCTTTTCAAATGTCTGGTCTGTTTCATTCTGTATTATACGTGAGATTTATAGGTGCCGTGTGTACTTGCAAATAATTCTTTGTTATTGTCATTACTCAGTTACTTGAAAAAATATACCACAATGTATCTTTTTTTTTTTTTTTCTTGTTCTTTTTGGTGGTAGGGATTGAACCCAGAGCCTACAGGCATACTAAGCATATGCTTTGCTATTGAGGCTAGACCCCCAATCTTTACTGATAGGGAATGTTCTATATATCTTTGAAAGAATTCAGCATTGGTTTCATTTGGCTCTAAATCTTGTTTGTGTAGCTTTTGTTTGGTTATAATTGAGGTCTAATTTATAAATAGCAAAATTTACCAATTCCTGGTATACAATTTGATAGGAAACCCATGAGTCTTTTGCATTTTTACAGTCTTCTAAGCAAAAGCCCTGACTGCCTTTTTTTCTGAACTATCTTTTCAAGTTTATTGGAAGATAGAATTGGTGTCTCCCTGTATTGCAAAGGGGGGGGGGGCAGGTTTTCTTATAGCATTAGAAGACAGAGATAATGTCTCCCTCCAGAGTAAATATCAAGCATGTTTCCTGCTCATTTTTTAAAGATTTGAGTTTCTTAAGCTTGGTCTTTCTCCTGTAAGGTGCCACCTGACTCTTCACAATACCCTGTGGGAATTGGGGCTCCAATATCTGGCACATTAAAAAGTACTGCACTTTAAAAAGTACTCTGATGACTGCTGTTGTTAAGAGTAATAAAGTCTTATGTCTCTGACTTAAGAAGTCTCATCTTTTGCTAGTATCCCTGAAACTCTGGCAGGCTAACTTGTTAGCTCAAACATAAGGTAAAAATCTCACCTCAGAACCTTTGCAGTTCTTGACACAATTCAATGAATTTTGGCCAATGTATAGCATCTTATAGCCATCACCATAATCATGACATAGAGTATTTCTATCACTCAAAAAAGTTTATTTTGTCCCTTCTCTACTTCAATGCAGGAAACCCCTGATCTGCCACCTGTCACCTTAGTTTTGCTACTTCTAGAATTTACTATAGATAGAATTATATAGTACAGCCTTTTGTATCTGGCTTCTTTTATTCAGCATAATGCTTTTGAGCTTCATTCATACTATTGCATGTATTGCTAATGCATTCCCATTTATTGCTGAATACTGTTCTGGGTTACTTCCAGTTTGAGACAATTATGAATAAAGCTATGAACACTTAATTATGTCTTCATGTAGACATGTATTTTAATTTTTCTAGGTACATTCTTAGAAGTAGAAATTTCAAGCCTTAGAGTGTGCTTTTAACTTGATAAAGTGGCTGCTTAATTTTTCATTCTTATCTGGGTATTTTTAATTTTCATCCCTCATTTCCAGTGAGTTTGAAAGTATTTTTCATACATTTTGTTTACTTATATTTCCTTTCCTATAAACTGCCTTTCAAATATTTTTCCTTGTTTTTCTAGTAGGTGTTAGAATTTTCTAGTGATTTATAGCCATTTTTCATATATTAGGGAATATTTTTGGTCACGTTATAAATTATAAACTCTTTTTTCACTTGTTAAGTGTCTTTTAAGGTTACTAATAGTGGGTTTTGCCTTGAAGAAATTGTGTCTCTGAAGTTCTTAATCTCAGTTACTGATGTGTTAAACTTCATAAAATATAGAAACAGGATTGGTCTCTTAAGCTGAAAGTATAAATTATGTTTTTCAGTCATTTTATGTAATAACTTAAGCAGAAATAAAGAAACATATCTTGAAGACTAGCTTTCTGCATTCTTATAAGAGTTTTACCACCAGTTAGAAAACAATTACACAGTGGAAACAAAAAAATTGTTTTAAACTATGTGTATATAAAAAATATTAAAAATAATATTAAATGTGTGTGTTACAGAAATATCTGTGCAAGATGTTGACGTTGCAGATTTGGCTAGTGAAAGCTTTGCTTATTTTCCTCACAACTGAATCTATAGGTAAGGTTAATGAAATGCCCTACATTCTATCTCCACAAATTAGGTTTATGTGTTTTTATATACTTATATAATTAAGCTTATGTTCAATAATACATTATTATGCTTATGTGTTTATTCTTTCTAGTGTTATCGAGTGTATAATGTTGCCTTAAAATGATTTAAATAAATAAAAAATATTCTTGATGATTTGTTTTATGTAAGTTCTCATTCAGTAATCATAAATGTTATTTAGTTGTTTTACAGTAACTATAAGGTGGGGAGAGCAAAAGAAAATATTAAAAGAAAAAGAGAAAAATATGTTAAATCTTAGCACTTCACTCTTTAATTGCCAAAAATGTCTCTGAGTAGTGTGGTTGTATTACTATAATGAAGAGATAGCTGAAATAGTACTATTTAAATTATAGTTCATAGCCTGATGCCCATCTGAGAACTGGTCATTACTGGTCCATAGTGAGATAAATGCAGAAATAAAGAACACACATTTAGAAACTCTTGTAACAATTTGGTGTAGCCATGACATCCCAGCACAGGATTAGTGAACATAGCAAACAAAAAGTGTAGTCAGTGATGGATTGAATAAAGGAAATACTGATCTTTCATCAAGATAGTTTAAGAAAGCTTGCTTTAAATCAGAAATCAGTCCCTCTCCAAATCATATCAGTACAGCTTCTTTGGGGACAGAAAGTTTAGGTGGAAAATCTTTCTTTCTTAGAAAGGCCTTCCTTTTTTTTTTTTTTTTAAGATGGTGGTGCTGAGGATTAAACCCGGGGTCTCGCACATGCTAAGCAAGCACTGTATCACTGAGCTATACCCTCAGCTAACTTTCCTTATTGTTGGGTTTTTGTTTTGCAGTATTGGGGATTGATCCCAGTGTTACTTTACCACTTGCTGAGCTACATCATAGCCCTTTTTAGTTTTTGAGACAGGACTCAATAAGTTGCTCAGGTTGGCCTTGAATTTGTGTTCCTCCTGACTCAGCCTCCCAAGTAGCTAGGATTACAGGCAAGCACCATCACATCCAATTTAACCTTCCTGATTCTTTTTTGTTGTTGTTTTGATGGTGCTGGGGATTGAACCCATGACCTTGTACATGTGAAGCAAGCACTCTACCAACTGAGCTGTATCCCCAGTTCATAACTTCTCTTATTCTTGAACCCAAATTTCTTTTTTGTATTTTCCCCATTAATTATTTATTTAGAATATACCTGTTTTCTCTCCCAACAGTTCAGCTTTTTTATTATTGAAGGACCACTTTTCTGTGTCTCTAGGCCCTCTTTCCCAAACTAAACTAAGCCAGTTATCCTAATCATTTATTTTAGGATGTGGCTTCTAATCCTGCACATGCTCATTGCCCTCCTGCTTCTTTTCTTGGTTACCTGTGTCTCATCATGTTACCACCCCAGTTCTCCATCTTAAGAGATATAGTAGTTTGACTACTCATTTAATCTGTGCCTCAAATTTTCTTGTCTATAAGGTAGAGAAAATAATGATCCTTAACTCTAGGTATGTTGTGAAGATAGGCTAGTGCCCAGCTCACAGTAAGCATTATAAAAAGGATAGTTATGGTATATTATTATAAAAATGATTGAATAAAATACACTTTATTTTAAAAAGTACCTGAAGTAGACATGGTCTGACTAGTGGCTCTGTCATATAGCAATGTTTCATGTTAAGCTAGTAATGAACAAATATTCTCAGATTATTTTCACATGAATTGTGTATGTTATAAGGCCCTAAGTTTGATCCCCAGCACTGTTTTAAGAAAAAGAAGAAAGGAGGAAAAAACCTAAATAGATACTTTCTCCATTGCAAATTTGGTTCATTAGTTTTAGCCTATTCTAATCTTTCAGCAGAATTTTTAGTTGGTTTTTTTTTTTTTTTTTTTTTTTCTCTTGACACTAGGGATTGAACCCAGGGCCTCATGCATGGTAGGCAAGTGCTTTACCACTAAGCTATATCCCCAGCCCTTTTATTTTATTTTATTTTATTTTTATTTTTATTGACACAGATCTCACTAAGTTGCCTAGGCTGACTTCAAACTTGCAATCCCTGCTTTAGCCTTTCAAGTAGTTGAGATAACAGGTGTGTGCTGCCATAGCTGGCACATTTTATTTTTTGACCCAATCTAATTTTTTGTTTTTTATTAGGAAATCTTATCCCATGCATTTAAAACTAATACATTTCTAACACATGTAAATAAATGTAATTTCTAATACATTTACATTAAATATAACTAATACATTTATTAAGACTAATAAGAATTCCTTAAAGAAATAGGAAATTCTATTCCCTACATTTATTGTTAAAACTAATATATTTGGTCATCTAGTTCTATTCTGTTTTTGTTGCCCCCTTACTATTTCCTTTTTTTGACCACATTTTGCTACATGGATAATGTGTTTCTGTCTTTCTGTACCCCATCTATACCACTCTTTCTCCCAGCAGCATTCAGAACTGGAGAAAGGAGACTACCATTGCCTATCTTCTGGAGATAGGCAGAATTAATTAAGATCTGTTCAAATCAAGGAACAGGACAGATGGTGGACAAATATGAGTCAAGCTGCAGTCAGTCAGAAAAAGCTCGGATATTATAATATGAGCTGAAGCATGTATAGATTTTCTTAATCCGGTTTGTTAATTTGTGTATTTCTTTACAACTTTAGGCATTAAATTCAGACCACATTTTTAGTTGTGTTTCTTTTTTTTAGGGAATATTTTAGTGAAAATTCAAGAAATCACATTGAGTGACACCAGCCAGAAACCATTTTGTACCAGAAAAACTTTTTTCTTTCTTTCTTTCTTTTTTTTTTTTAACAGTTCTGGGGACCAAACCTATGCCCTTAAACATGCTAGGAAAGCATTCTACCAGTGAACTACATCTTTTGCCCAGTTTATTTTTATGTTTTAAAAAATTTTGTTCCTTCTTTCAGGTGAACTTCTGGATCCCTGTGGTCACATCAACCCTGAATCTCCAATAATAGAACGTGGCTCTAATTTCACTGCAGTTTGTGTGCTAAAGGAAAAATGTATGGATTATTTTCATGTAAATGCTAATTACATTATCTGGAAAACAAACCATCTAACTGTTCCTAAGGAACAATATACCATCATAAACAGAACAGCAGCCAGTGTTACCTTTACAAATGTAGTTTCACCAAATCTTCAGCTTACTTGCAACATTCTTACATTTGGACAAATTGAGCAGAATGTTTATGGAATTACAGTTCTTTCAGGATGTAAGTTTTGTTTTTTGTTTTTGTCATATTTCTGATTTTGTCATGACTATTAAACTACAGTTTTAGTGTTGTCCTTTAGAATTAAATTTATGAAATGGGGTAACTTGTGGGCTCAGTGACTTTTGGACATACTTAAAAAAATAAGCATAGAAGTAGGACCTACATTTCATTAATATTCAGATATCCTAAAGAATAACAGAGATTTTCTCTTGTTTCATGAAAGTCAAGCATTTTTCCAGTTTTCTAGAAAAATATTTTGGCTTGAGACCCTGACCCCCCAAAAATAGTTATTGGTGATTTTGAAGTCTGTGAATATATTCATAGTAACTTCCAGTATTCTTTAATTGCTGTGAAAATGCATATGTAAAGCAGCTCCCTGAAGGTAGTAAACAAATACTGGAGAAAGCCCTTCTTTTTTTTTTGCTTTACAATTCTTAATACACATAGTAAAGAATGTAAGCTATGCTGGGCGTGGTGGCACATTCCTGTAATCTCAGTGGCTCTGGAGGCTGTGGTAGCTAGGCCCTAAGCAATTCAGCGAGATCCTGTTTCTAAAATAAAATATTTTTTAAAAAGGGCTGGGGATGTGACTCAGTGGTTATATGCCCCTGGCTTCAACCCATCTTACAAAAGAAAAGAATGTTAACTATGGTCCAAAAGCAGGTTACCAAATTTGCAGATCATTCCAACCATTAAAATTTCAGCATTTGTTTTTCTTCCAATAGAGTTTGAGAAAATAGTAAGAACAGAAATATAAATGAATTATTTTGCTTCTACTTAATTGCCTGTTATTATTGATTTTTTAATCCAGTTATTAATGAAAGTATATATATATATATATATATATATATATATATAATTTTTTTTTTTTTGGTAGTACTAAGGTTTGAACCCAGGAACTTGTGCATGTGAGGCACTCTACCAACTGAGCTATATCCCTAGCCCATGAAAGTTGATTTTTATGTAGAAAATTAATGTGAAACAAACTAGTTAATGACAGCTATGATATAAAATATGTATTACTACCTATAAAATTGAGTTTTAATAGAAAGAACTTAACTTTTTAGTCACCAGTCTTTCATTATGTCCACAATTTTGTCTTGGGTTTGTTTTTCTATCTAAGGGGGTATATAAATTGGACAATGTTTGTGGATATAAAATTTTTTTAAATGATCATTTCCTTTTAGTTCCCCCAGAAAAACCTAAAAACTTGAATTGCATTGTGAATGAAGGAAGAAAAATGATGTGTCAGTGGGATCCTGGAAGGGAAACATACTTGGAAACAAACTTCACTTTAAAATCTGAATGGTAATTTATTTTAAGTTTGTCCTATGTTGGATGTATTAATTAGACATTATTACTGGAAGTTTTATTTTATCAAGCAGTAATATTGAATCCAAAATTTTAAACAGTATAACTTTATTTTGGAATATCTCAAATATATATGAAAGTAGAAAGAATTTTATAATAAATCCCCATGTGCACCCATCACCCCACTTCAACAATGATAGCACTCGTGACCAATCTTACTTTATGTGTATTCTACCCCATATTGTTTCCAAGAAAACATCAGACATATTCCATTCATAAATATTTCAGTACATAGCTCTAAAAGACAAGGCCTTTTAAAAAACATAACCACATACCATTGTTATACCAAAATAATTTAAAGTACTTTAAATGCTCAGTTTTTTAATTAGTATTAATTACCTCAGCTATCTCATGGAATGTATATGTGTATGTGTATATATGTGTGTTTGTGTGTGTGTGTCTGTTTTATATTTGTTTCAATTGAGATCCAAATAAGCTGTATACATTGCAAATTGATATTTGTCTCTCTTAACCATAGGTTCTATCTGCTTCTCGATTTTTTTTCCTTATAATTCAGTTATTAAGAAAACTATTATACCTCATTGAACATATTCTCTCCTCACTAAAAAGTGCCAAGAGCTACAGATTTAATCAAATTTGGGTTTGATTATTTTTTCCCCAGAAACTATTTCATAGGAGTGATATACTTCCATGAAGAACCACTTCATAGTGTTTTATTGAAATTTTTATCTGATATTAGAATTGAGCATTGATTTCAGGTGTTATCAGCCTTATTCATTCTTTTTAAAGTTCACCATTAGGGTGTGGTTGCTTGTGCCTGTAATTCCAGCTATTCAGGAGGCTAAAACAGAAGGATCCTTAAGTTTGAGGCCAGCCTGGGCAACCTAGTGATACCCTGTCTCAAAATTAAAAAAGGACTGAGGATTTATAGCTCAGTGTGTAAAACCCTGGGTTCAATCCCTAGCACCAAAAGAAAATTTTTAAATGAAAGAAAAACTCCTTGTTGGCTTGTTTCAAACATAAAAAAGTTGAAAGAATTTTATAGTGAATACTCATATATACCCATTATCAATTAACATTTTTTGTATCTGCTTTATTACACATCTATTTATCTATATACATCCTTCTATTTGATTGATAGATATATAGATCTGTCAATTCGTATTTTTTTGTTAATACATTTCAAAGTATAGGCCATTAGTAGTTTTTATTATTAAACATTTTAGTATATACATGATTAAATTATTTGTTTAACCATAAAAAAGTTTGAAAAATCATCTAGATTCTATAATTAACATTTTTCTGTATTTGCCTTATCTATTTATCTATGCCTCCTTCTCTTCATCTATTAATCCGTCTCTTTTTGTTAACACATTTCAAAGCACAGGCATGGGTGTTTTTTAATCCTTAAACTTTTCAGTGTTTGCATGATTGAATTCAGTATTTGCTTACAGGTTTGATTTTGTTTTTTAGGTAAAATTTACAGATAGTGAAAAACACCGATCTGAAGTACATCCTTTAGTGAGTTTTGTCAAGAACAACTCAGACCTAAAATGTGGAACATTAGTAACACTCCCAAAAAGTTCTCTCATGCTCCTTCTCAGTCAATCCCAGTCACCACTCCACCCCATGAGGCCACTCCTTGTCTGAATTTCTTCACCATAGAGATTATTTTTGCCTGTTACCAAATGTCACATAATTTAACAATACAGTATACACTCTTGTGAAAAATTTTTATGACTGAGTACAATGCATCTGATATTGAACCTTATTACATCCCATTACATCACTAAGTTCAAGCCTGAGAGACTTAGTGAGTCCCTGTCTCAGAATTAAAAAAAAAAAAAAAAAAAAAAAACAGCTGGGAATATAGCTTACTGGTAGAGCACTTGGCTCACATGTGCAAGGCCCTGAGTTCAAACCTCAGTATGGAAAAAAAAAGAAAATCAGAAACTGTAAATACCCACTAAAAAAATTTATCAAGTGAAGTTGGAAATGATTTTAAAGGATTCTCATGGAAGTTTGGAAAATCTTTTATATAGCAGTACAAGTTGGTGGAGAAGGATTTGCCAGTGTGCTTGCTAGAGAAGTAAAAAACAATATTGAAGGCCATTGAGATGTATTAACAAATGAGGAATTAGAAGAACTTGTTCATTCCTCTACAAAGGAAAAAGATGAAGAAGAAACTGAAACAGAACCAGCAATGTAAACATTTCTGAAATTTGCTAAACTATTTTGAATTGCACAGACATTAAAGAACAAAATTATGTAATATAATCCCCAGATGGAATTAAAAGCACTTTTATGATCACCAAAGGATTGCATTCTCTAGCAACACTTTGATGAGTTAAAAAGAGACAACAATTTCCAATTATAATGTTCTTCCAAAAGGTTTCAGGGTTGGGGGTACTTCCAACTATCAAGGATCCCCAACTATTGACATCATTTGCTCCAGACATCATCATGGTTTTATTATCTATGATCTTCTGAAAAAGATGATTCTTCTTCTGGCTTATTGTCAGAAGGACAGTAATATTCTAAGATTGCCTCACAATGCCTATATCATTCACCTTATTTTATCTTATCAGGTGGGCATTATATCATCTCACATCATCACAAGAAAGATCAGTACTGTAAGATATTTTGAGAGCCATATTCACATAACTATATTATATTGTTCTAATTTTTCTGTGCTATTATTAATTTCTTCTATGCCTAATTTATAAATTAAACTTGTGTGTGTGTGTGTGTATGTGTGTGTATATATATATATATATATATATATATATATATATATATATATATATATGTATATATAATGGGTAAAAACATACTGTAGATAGGAGTTAGTACTGTCTGAAGTTTCAGGCACACACTGAGGAGTCTTGAACTGTATCCCTTGTGGATGGAGCAGGACTACTTACTGTACTAGGATCACAAGGAAACTGATAATATTTGGAGAAGGATGAATAAGAAATAGAGCATGAAATTCTAAAATACAGTATTATTTGATTAAAACTTTGAAAATAATTTTGTCTTAAGATATAGAGTTTTATAGAAAAGCAGGCTTATTTTTAAGAAAAGTTACTTGATTTTAGTTATAAACTAAAACAAGTGTAAACTTTGCTGCTGCACAATCTGTCTCATCAATTTCTTTTCAAGTAACTTTTTTCACTACTTTTTTCAAACCTAGTTTTAATGACTAATTCTTTCTTTCTTTCTTTCTTTTTTTTTTTTTTTTTTTTAATTTAGGGCAACAGAGAAGTTTGATGATTGTAAAACAAAACCTGACACCCCCAACTCATGCCTTGTTGACTATTCTCCTGTGTATTTTGTCAACATTGAAGTCTGGGTAGAAGCAGAGAATGCCCTGGGGAACGTTACTTCAGACCATATCAATTTTGATCCTATAGATAAAGGTAGTTATAAAACTGAATTTGAGAATTTTGTAGATTAAATAATGATTTATCAGTTATTTTTTCAGATTTTAATTAATGTAGAAACAAGCATTTATTTAATTAATGTAGTGATTTTTACAAAGTCATTATATCGTCAATATTAAATATAATCATGGAAAAGAAAAGTAACCATAATCTAATCATACCAACAACTATTTTCACTTCAAATGTTATCTTTTTGTATTTGTCCCATTCTCTTAACATTTTATACTGTTGCAATCACAGTATACATGTTCCATTGTTATTCTTTTCAAACTTTTGATTTATCATAAACATTTACTTGCTTTTGATATCTGAACCTGAAAAACATAATATACTAAACTGACAAGGAAAACTAGTTTCTTTAGAAATCTTCTTTCCATTTTATAATGTATCACAATACCATTTTCAGAGAAATTAGTTCATGTGCTAAAAATAAGTGAATCATGTAAAATAAAGAAAAATATAAAAAGAGTATATTTGATTTTCTTTTTGAAATTGTAAAAGTAAAATGTGATCAACATCAGATTCTATTTTATTCTTTAGTGAAGCCTAATCCACCACGTAATTTATCAGTGAGCAACTCAGAGGAACTGTCCAGTATCTTAAAATTATCCTGGATCAATCCAAGTATTAAGAGTGTGATAAGACTGAAATATAACATTCAATATAGGACCAAAGATGCCTCAACTTGGAGCCAGGTAAATTGAAAGTTACTGTTTATTCAAATAGTCTTTTTTGAACCCTCTAACCTGAAAGTCTCAATCATTTTCTGAATGTCTGATTTTCTGGTTATGTGAAATATTTTGCTTAACAACTGTTGTAGGTCTTTATTTCTAACAAGAGCAAACAGGAAGACATCCAGATAGAAAAATACAGCTATGCTGTGTACAGTAACCTTTAAATGAAATATGGAAGTGATGAAGGGTGACAGGAAAGAGCATTTTTGATGGTAGGTAAAAGGAACACAAGTAATAAGAAGCAAATTAAGTAGAGGAACAAAAATAAATGGATTACAAGGATGAAGGTAGAGCAGGTGTTGGCATACTACAGTTTGCAAACAAAGTTCAGCCTGCCATCTGATTTTGCAAATAAAGTATTATTGGCACATAGCCACACTCATTCGTTAACATACTGTCTTTTTATGCAAAAAATGGAAAGAGTCAAGCCCTTGCAACAGAGACTCTCTGGCACTTAAGGCTAAAATAACTTACAGGCTGGGGTTGTGGCTCAGTGGTAGAGCACTCGACTGGCACACTTGAGGCACTGGGTTTGATGGTTTGATCCTCAGCACCACATAAAAATAAATAAGGTCAAATAATTTACTATTTATCCCTTTATAGAAAGTTTGCCAACTTCTATGGTGGGTGCTAAGGGTGGTGGTGAAGGAGCTTGGCAAAAGAGAGAAGGGATAAAAGAAAAATTAGATCAGCATGTTTATTTCCCCTGCTTTCTCCACCTAAGGTTGTGCCCATCAAGGCAGCCCTCTCTATCTGATCCTCTTCTTTCAGACTTTGGTGCCTTGCCTTTTTCCTGTGGCCTTAGAGGTGGTAATAGCTATAAGCTCCAGAGTGTTAACTGCACTAAGAAATCCCTATACTTTTGACCATAGTTCTTTTACATAACCCTCCTTGAATTCATTCTAACTGGGGTGTACCATCTATTTCATACTGAGATCCTGAGTAGAAGGGAAAAAGAGGAAGGAGGGAGAAGGAAAGAAATTAAATCCAATAAAATTTACTAATTTTGACTTGCATTTATTTCTCCTCAGAGGTTGAATTTAATTTGTTAGTCTTACTGTTTTCTGAAATTGTATACAATTTGTTGGCGATTTGTTCCTGTTGTTGCTGAATTTGCTTTATTTTCAGATTCCTCCTGAAGATACAGCATCTACCCGGTCTTCATTCACTGTCCAGGACCTTAAGCCTTTTACAGAATATGTGTTTAGGGTTCGCTGTATGAAGGAAGATGGTAAGGGATTTTGGAGTGATTGGAGTGAAGATGCAAGTGGGATCACATATGAAGATAGTAAGTAAATAAATGAGGACATAAAGCTAGTAGAATTCTGTCTGTGAATCATGTCTGGTTTTAATAACAGATCTCATTGCTTCTTATTTTATGATCATTCAAAATAAAGTGTCATACTTTTTTTAAGGATATTAAGATAGATGATTTAATATGCATTATTGATAGTTTATTTTATACTTCAGCTGTCATGGGAAGGTACCTTAAGTGCCATCAAAAAACCTTTACTTAACTGTTGATAAGTGCAGAACATTTTATTCAGAGAGAGTGGTCCAGCAATACCCCTAACTAGAGAAAAGATATTTATATTATATCTTTCGTTCATTTATTTCTACCAGCACTTGATAAGTCCCTGGAAATGAAGTGATCTGGGATCTGAATTGGTTGATTTTCATTTTTCCCCCCTCCTGGATAATAGAAGATGTATAGTGTAGAATACAATAGGGTGTAAAGTCTAGAGTAAGACTTCCTGCACAAAACATTAACATTACTAAGTCTTTTGTGTGGCCATCAAGCAATAATAGATTGCTTATAGACGTATAGATTTTTTATTTTGAATCTTTTCCTATTGCAGTTTTCACTCTTTATTTGTCAGCAACAGCAGCTATGGCTTATCTGTATCCCTTCGCTTCCAACTGTGTTAAAGGTTTAGGTCATTGTGTGAATTGAGAATGTCGTAACCTTCTCCCTTCAGAATTTACTCTCTCTGCTCTCAGAAATGCCAGGTTAGCAGTCTTGCTATTTGCTGATTTGAGAGTCCTCAGATTCCTTTGACTTGACCAGGAATTAGATCCTTAGGACCTTTAGAGTTACATGGGTCCTTTGGGGAAGTTCATGAAGCACTTCAAAGTGCAGGCAAAATTATTGTGTGGTTAGCATATGCATCTCCCTGGGGTGAGGGTGTATAATCTTAGATAAGAGATCTTTGGAGCCAAGAACATTATGAACCTTTGGACAAAGTTTTTCCTAAGCTTAAAGAATGAAGCCTCTAGTTTTTCTTACTGTTAGAATATATTTCTGGCCCATAAATTTTTCTTTATAATTTCATGTTCTTTATTTTGTTTGGGTGCTGCAGCAGACTTGTATATATCTATTTGAACCTTTTAGGCTGAGCCTTTTCCCCAGCTTTCCTGAGCTGTTTGTTCTATTCTCTATTTTGTCATGTATCCGTATATCTTCATGGCCAGGATATCACTGCTCAGGTTTTATTCTGATTCTGACTTTACTCTGTTGAATACTGGACTTATAATTATACTTACCAGATTTTTGAAATATCAGATACAGGATTGTTTTTAAACCTAATTACAGTGATCCATCCTTATCTGTAGTTTCACATTCCATGGTTTCAGTTTCCCACAGTCCAAAGATACAAGATGGAAAATTCCAGAGAAACACTTAATAAGTTTAAAATAACTATTATTACTACATATTGTTATTTATTGTTGTTGATCTCTTACTGTGCCCAATTTCCAAATTAAAATCTATCTTTATTATGCATGTTTGTATGTATAGAAAAAACAGCATATATGGAATTCAGTACTGTCCAGAGTTCAGGCATCTACTGAGTTTCTTAGAATACATTCTCTGCAGATAAGAGACGGCTACTATATTGGTACTTTACACTTTTTTTTTTTTTTTTTTTGGAGGTACTAAGGATTGAACCCAGGAAGCATTCTACCTCTGAGCTACATCCCCAGCCCTTACATTTTTAATTTCCAGACACGGTTTTGGTTAAGTTGCCCAGGGTTGCCTTAAACTTCCAATCCTTCTGCCTCAACCTCCCAATTGACCAGTATTACAGGCATGCACCACATGCCTGGTAGTATTTGATACTTATATTCTTCTATCTCTTTGATATCCCAACATAAAGCAATAAACTTTTGTGACATTTACTACATTTAGTTTCTTTTTATATTATGTTTATATACTTAGAGGTTTTAGTCATATTTTAGGCATATATTTGTGTATTTCTGTATGATTTTTCAATTTGATATTTAACAGTAAATAGTATTAGTTGATTTTTATCATGTATACACACACTGTTTTTTTTTTTTTTATTGGTGGGTGGGGGCAGTGCTAGGAATCAATCCCAGTGTCTTGCCCAGTGAGCAACTCCAGGCCTGTATTTTCTTTTTTAAAAGTCATTAGTATTGACTGATTTTTTAAAAGTATTATAATTGTAAGATATGGTATTCAATAGAATGAGAAAAGATTTAGAATAAGTTAAGCAATAATGTGTTGATCATGAAGAGGCAATTATAAATGACAAAGCAGAGAAGAGAGGTTAGGCAGATCAGGAAGGCTGGGGGAAAGGCTGTCAGCACAGAGATTAACATGATTGTACATGTTATACATGTATAGAGCAGCATCTGAGCAGAAAAAGAACATGAAATTGTAAGAAATAAATAATGACATCTTTTGGTTATTGCTTAGAACACATTTTTATCTTTATAATTTTGAGGTTAGAAAAAGTTTCTTTAATCTGTAGCTAGGCTCGGTGGTATAGGCCTGTCCTGTAGTCCCAGCTACTTAGGAGGCAGAGGCAAGAAGTTTACTTGAGCCCAGGAGTTTAAGGCCAGCCTGGGCAACATAGCAAGACCATATTTCAAAAAAATAAATTAAATTATTATCTAAATCATCAAGCTATTACCATGTCTAAAGGAAAACCCAGATATATCTTGATGGGATGGGAAAATGCTGTGAAGAGCTAGACACATCATGAGATGAAAGGGAAAGAATATTAAGAACAAAGTAAGAGAATAATTTACAGGATTTTATTATATTCAGATAAAAATATTTTAAATTTTTGTGTTTTCTTTAGGACCATCCAAAGCACCAAGTTTCTGGTATAGGATAAATCCATCCCATTCTCATGGCTATAGATCTGTACAACTTATATGGAAGGTAAAAAAAAAAAAAATTCTATTTTTTATCTCTCTTATAAGTATATTTTAATGTTATTATTGGTGTAAGTTTTTTAATACTTAATTTTTATTCATCTTAAGATCAGCAAAGCATTTGATATTTTTTTAACAAAGCTTTATGTAGGGATTAAGTTCATAAACTGCAAATAATATCTCATTTGTTATTTCAGCACAGTTCTATGAAAGTGTAAAACCTACAAGAAGAGGTACCCTTTTGTATACTTTATTGAATTTACCAGGGTGCCTCATAGAAAGCAATAAAGGTTTGCAGTAATCAAAATGTATTATAGTAAATCGATATGTGTACATGAGTACATCATACTAAAAAGAGTAGGGAGAAAATACCCAAGTATAAATAATATAGATCAACATAGCATAATGCAGAATTCTGTGCAGAACTGGAAGCTAACTGAAAAATGATACTTCCCCTTGTTCAGTTGAGCTTCATTCTTTTACTCTTCATCCAGTGGATAGTGGTATTACTTTAGTACTGACTGCAAAATAAATTTACCAGTTTCTTCCAATTAAATGTTTAGAGGTTTGATATAATGGCAGAATTTGTGAATATAAAAAAAGTAATTATTCAATATTTATGAAACTTTTTAAAATAATATTTTATTACAGACATTGCCTCCTTTTGAAGCCAATGGGAAAATCTTGGATTATGAAGTGACTCTTACAAGATGGAAATCACTTTTACAAAATTACACAGTTAATGACACAAAATTGACAGTAAACCTCACAAATGATCGCTATAGTGCAACTTTGACAGCCAGAAATCTAGTTGGCAAATCAGATGCGTCCATTTTAACTATCCCTGCCTCTGACTTTCAAGGTTTGTGTCTGTAAAATGGAGTCTGGATCATGGATGAAAAGAGTGGTTAGGTATAGATAAGGATCCTGTAAAAACACAAATGAAATAAGATTACCTGAGTATCAGAGATGATGGTATTTTCAGAAATCAGTCAGAAAGCAGATTTCTTTAGAATGCATGGAATGACTTCCCATCCCTATGTAACTCATTTAGACTTTTTAGCATGCTGTTCAGCTCATTTAAGCATTTTCTGATTGATTAACCTGATTTTAGAAATATTTAAGGTTTTGAGAAGTTTCTGTGCATATATTGTTTATTGGTAGTTTTCAGAGAAGAAAAAAGTTGAAAGTTGCTGTTACAAACTTGAATACACAAAATATTTAAATGAATTTAAGGAAAACAAGAATTTTTAAAGATCAGTTGACATGTAAGTTAAAAGAAAGGGCTTTTATTCATGGAAATAAATGTTATGTGCTACAAAACATGATAAATTGCATTTAGAAATGACTATAAGAGATTGAAGTTTGAAATCATGAATGTTCATTCATTGTATTGACATCAAACTTTGTTTTAAAGCTACTCACCCTGTAACAAATCTGAAAGCGTTCCCCAAAGATAACATGCTTTGGGTAGAATGGACTGCTCCAAGTAAATCTGTAAAGAAATATGTACTTGAATGGTGTGTACTGTCGGATAAATCACCCTGTATCCCAGACTGGCAGCAAGAAGATAGTACCGTGCATCGCACCTATTTAAGAGGTATACCTGGCTAGAAACATCTAAGTTGATATCCTTTTTCTAATGCATTTAGACAGCTTTTTCTTTTGCATATTCTTTTCTGGCTTATACACATTGTAGTCCATTGAAAAGAACCAATTTAGCATAACCCTACTAATTACTAGATGTGTGACTATCAACGAGTAACATTTAACCTCTCTGAACTATGGACAGAATAGGGGTAATACTGTCTTTTTGGCTTTTTATACCCAAATATCATTCTTATCACCACAAGAACACTCACAAAACTGTAAAAAAGTATAAAATAATCTAGTCTTGAGTACTGATTGGTTGTGTATTCTCTGCACCTGACTTAACTCTTCATTCTTCTGATGAAAAATAGTTCCTTATAGCCTTTGGATGACTTGCTGAACTTCTTATAGCCATAGACTAGGGTAGTCCAACCAGAATGCAGGTTTCCTTGTACCTTTTAATTTTAACTGCTAACACAGAACAGAAAATAATGTGTTTTGTTTGGGGTTTTTGATTTGTTGTTTTTGTTGTTTGCGGTGCTGGGGATTGGACCCAGGGACTGGCGTATGCTGGGCAAGCCCTCTACCACTGAGCCACATCCCCAACTCCAAAACATAATAGTTTTGTAGCATTCCAAACAGAATTATTCTGTGTGGTAAGTAACTACTTACGTGGCTGTAATATATAATGGCTATGAAGAGAAAATAAAAACATTCAGTGAATATGTGCTTTTTTAATAAAGAAGGGAATAATCATTACACTTAACCTGTAGATAATATGATTAATCAGAGAAAAGCCCTAAGCAGAGAGAGAACCTGCCATAAATTTTTTGAGCTTTATTCATTAGGTTGGTTGTTTGGATTTTACTAACCTATTATTTAGTGTACAGTTTAAATATGCCTGATTGTCTAGTTTATCAACCTTATTGAATAAAAGCAATGGTGGAACCAAGGAGAAGACAGATTGGAAATAACTAGACCTAAGAAGCTTAAAAAGCCTAGTGTAGGTTCTGGAGACATCAGGGTTTTAAGGCTCAACAGGCCTGAAAGCATCACTATCACAGTAGACTTTAAAAATAGCGTATTTCTTGATAATGTGGTCTCTTCAAGAAAAGGTAAAATTACTCTGTGTAAGAAGGCAAATGTGCATATAACTTTATGAATAATAGTTAAGGAAATACAAGTTCTTGTTGAAGATAAAAGCTTCAATATCAAACACCATTTTCTTTTGTGTGTGTATGTTTGCATATCTTTTTTTAATTTTTATTAATTTTTTATATATGACAGTGGAATGCATTACAATTCATATTACACACACAGAGCACACTTTTTCATATCTCTGTTGTATACAAAGTATATTCACACCAATTTGTGTCTTCATACATGTATTTTGGATAATGATGTCCATCACATTCCACCATCATTTCTAACCCCCTGCCCCTCCCCTTCCCCTCTCACCCTTCTGCCCTATCTAGAGTTCGTCTATTCCTCCCATGCTCCCCCCCCTACCTCACTATGAATCAGCCTTCTTATATCAGAGAAAACATCCGGCATTTGTTTTTTTGGGATTGGCTAACTTCACTTAGCATTATCTTCTCCAATTCCATCCATTTACCTGCAAATGCCATAATTTTATTTTCTTTTATTGCTGAGTAATATTCCATTGTGTATATATGCCACATTTTTCTTATAACCACAGTTTCTTTATCCATTCATCTATTGAAGAGCATCTAGGTTGGTTCCACAATTTAGCTATTGTGAATTGTGCTGCTATAATCATTGATGTGGCTGTGTCCCTGTAGTATGCTGTTTTTTAAGTCCTTTGGGTATAGACCTAGGAGAGGGATAGCTGGGTCAAATGTTGGTTCCATTCCCAGTTTTGCAAGGAATCTCCATACTGCTTTCCATATTGGCTACACCAATTTGCAGTCCCACCAGCAATGTATGAGAGCACCTTTTTCCCCACATCCTCACCAACACTTACTATTGTTTATATTCATAATCACTGCCATTCTGACTGGAGTAAGATGAAATCTTAGAGTAGATTTGATTTGCATTTCTCTAATTCCTATGATGAACATTTTTTCATATATTTGTTAATTGATTATATATCTTCTGAGAAGTGTTTATTTAGGTCTTTGGCCCATTTATTGATAGAGCTATTTGTTTTTTTGGATAAACACTATTTTCTGATGTGGATTGATAATACACTGTATAAAAAGGGAAAACTTCATTCTACATACTAAAAGAATAGATTACTTTGATAATTTGAAGAGATTATTAATAAAAGAAATCTGCATTTAAGATAACTTTTCCTTTTAAATTACAGGGGAAATTATCACTTTTTTTTAAATTATCTTTTTTTTTTTTTTTTTTCAACTTACCTGAGAAGCCATAACCCTTAATGCTTTCCCTTAGGTCTATTGGTGGCATCTTGCTCATTAGGCAGTTCTCAGAATTAGGTAAGATATGAGTTGTCAAACTAAGTAAGATTTAGAAGAATTTGAGGTCAGTGTTTTATAAATCCTGAATGTAAATATAATAACTGTTTTTATTAACAATATAAGTAGTTTTATATACTGTATTGGCAATAAAAGTAATATTGACTTTTTATGAACAGTTTTACCCCCAAGCTTGAGTCCCATAAATAAAAGATAATGCTTACTTAGAAAACTGCCATTTTCAAGGAAAATGCAATGATAATGAAATTATAATGTGAAAATAGATCATAGAATTAATTTGTATTTTTCATTATCAAAAAAATGCTTAATCTGCTATTCTTACTTTAGGGAAACTAATGGAGAGCAAATGTTATTTGATAACTATTACTCCAGTTTATGCCAATGGACCGGGAAGCCCTGAATCTACAAAGGCATACCTTAAACAAGCTCGTAAGTCCACACTCACTTTTGTTGAAGAATGTTGTTTAGTTTTAACAAAGACCTTTTATCATCTTTAAGTAAGGATACTTCTCATGATATTCAAATAATTTTAGTTAGTTTCTAAATTCTGTTGCTTTATAGTTAGTAAATACATTTATTCTGTTACAGCACCTTCCAAAGGACCTACTGTTCGGACAAAAAAAGTGGGGAAGAATGAAGCTGTCTTAGAGTGGGACCAACTTCCTGTTGATGTTCAGAATGGATTTATCAGAAATTACACTATATTTTATAGAACCATTATTGGAAATGAAACTGGTAATAATAAAACTGTATCAGTTACTAAGAATTATATTTTTCTCTTAAGCTATTAAATACTAATTTCTCATCTTGCTGCATTATCCATCTTTTTATTGCATATATTTTATTGTTGTTTGCATATATTATTTTTTGAAGACACTTGAGAATATGTCATGCTTGTTCATGGCTTTATTTAAAAATTATTACATTGTGCTTAAGGAAGAATATTATGTCAGAGTTATAAAGGTTGTTTTCTGAGAAAATGTTTTTATTACTTTTAAATATTTGCACAGTAACAAATATAGGACAAAGCAAAACCATTGAATTATTTTTTAAAAATGTTTATTTTTAAGTTGTAGTTGGACACAACACCTTTATTGTATTTATTTATTTTTTGTAGTGCTGAGGATCAAACCCAGGGCCTCGCACATGCTAGGCAAGCGCTGTACCACTGAGCCACAGCCACAGCCCCCAAAATGTTGAATTATTGAATAAAGCTGTTTTTTATTTCTTCCAGCTGTGAATGTGGATTCTTCCCATACAGAATATACACTGTCCTCCTTGACCAGTGACACATTGTACATGGTACGGATGACAGCATACACAGATGAAGGTGGAAAGGACGGTCCAGAATTCACTTTTACTACACCGAAGTTTGGTAAGAAATGATGAATTGTTTTTTCTTATTTTATCTTGTTTTAAAATTAAACAGACTATAAATGGGCTTACTGTGCTAAAATTTTGTTTAAAAGTACACCTTTAGCTAGGGGCATAGCTCTGTAGTGCACAGTGCCCTGTGTTTGATCCCCAGCACAAAACAAAACAAAATAGTGTACCATTGGATTCATAAAATGAAGTGTTCATAAATTATGATTTTTATATTTATATGGTTTAGTTGTTTCTTTTAACTATAGGGAATGTTATTCCTGACCTTTTTGGTGTTACACTGTTTCTGACTGAATTCACCTATACTCTGAATCCCACAAGAACTTGCATATCCCCCTCAGTGGGTTCATCTTTTTCCACTGGATTAGTTGTTATAGTTTTTCCTCTTCTCTTCTCTTGTTCCTTCCATTTGTAATCAGGTTGCTTGAAAAACTAGTGCACCTTGGAATCTCCACTAGTACCTCCAGCTCAGTCACTAGAAGCAGGCTTCCCACTCCACCACTGTTCTGAAACCTCTCTGGTGTTCTCATCGAAGACCTTAGACATCATATCCAGTGCATACTTTTTAAACTTTACCTTTTTTCCATTTTATTTATTATAGGATCTATTTGGCCTTTCCATTCTTGAAACTCCTTCCTCCCCTGGTTCATCCAATCATACCTTCCTTTGTTTTTCTACTAGCACTCTCCTGAATCTCCCTCCTCTCTGGCACATCCCTCTTGTTCTTTTTCTGTTCAGCCTTTACATCATTTATTCCCCAAAACTCTGTTCTTGGCCAATTTCTTTATCTGTCTATTCATACTCCCTGTCATGACTAAACCATCCTCTTTCCTTCTTGAATACATTTCTCTTTCTTTGTTCCAGGCCACAATCATCTAGCTCTGCCAAAACAGAAATTTAGATGTGATTACAAAAAATTTCTTTTTTCCTTCCTTGACACCAAGTGTCAAGTTCTATCAGTTATACCTAATTATTGCTGGCCCCTGTGCTTTCAGAAGCAGCAGCTTGCTCCAACTGCAATCTCCTCATTATTCTGTCCAACTTTTCACCTTTTCCTGCATTGTCCTAGTGTGGATCCTCCTCTTTTCTTGTTTTTATTGTTCCTGTAGCCTTCCAAAAGAACACTTAAATGCATTCTTTCTTGTTCCAACTATTTGAATTATTATAGAAATTACCTTATTTTCTTGAATTGTATTTGTGGCTCTCACCCCCAAATGCTTCAATAAGGGGAATGATAAATAGCAATCTACGTGTTCCTCATTAGTTCATTGATTGCTGAATGAGAAAATAAATGATGAGTGACTACATAAAATACATAATAAAAGGTCCTGAGCATTTCTATTAGGGCTAATAATGAATATAGTTTTGAGGATAAGGTTTGTCCTGTATTGTGACATGTTAATAGATATATAGTGAATGATACTTGAAATAAGGCATTGAAAAAAATAATAAAACTTGAAAAATATTTTCCCTAATTACAAAAGTAATGTTCATTGTAGGGAATATATACAGTAAAATACAAAGAGGAAGAAAAATTATTCTTAATCCCTCATTTATAAATAATCTAACATATAACTTAGTTGAATAAATATGGCAAAAGTTAAAAAAAATATATACTGAGCTATGTGAGTAGGAGTTTAAAGACAGTAGGGGGATTTTCATCTTTAAAGAAGAGTTCATGGAAAAGGCAATGCTGGAGCCTTAAGTTTAGGATGTGGACAATTGGGAAAAAGAAGATGTTATAGAGTGGCACAAGCAAATGTCCAAGGCATGAAAACATAAAAGCTACTTTTTCTGTGCCAGTCTGCATGCCTCGTGAGCATCTTTCCTAAAATTCTCAACTCTATATCCAGTATATTATCTTTTTGAAAATAACTTACAATTTTTACCTCAATTGTATTTTTTATTAATTTTTTTAGTTGTAGATGGACACAATACCTTTATGTAATTTATTTATATGTGATGCTGAGGATTGAATCCTCATTCAAGCCAGGCAAGCATTTTACCACTGAGCCACACCCCAGCCCTCAATTGTATTTTTATTCCTTATAGAAAAGTTAAATTTGTTGTTCAATTGTTTCATAGCTTCTGCAGTTCTACCCAATGTTCATATACAGATATAATTTTTCCATTTTATGGTGATGAACATTATAATATTAAGCTTTTGCTAAGATTCTGAGTGCAGATCATAATTATAATGAATGGTTAGGTTTGAAAGCTTTAACAGACCAGATATATTGTCTTTTAAGTCATTTTATTCCCCCAACCAACATGTATTTTATGCTTACTACCTGGTCATGGTACTATGTAAGGAGAAATTGTTAGGATATGATTTAACAAGGAGGGAAGGAACACTTTTAAAGTGCAAAAAGACTGAAAAATCAAGAAAGTACTTTATCTATTCAACAGGCATTGGTTGGGAGGTTGTATTATTTCCCTTTTGTGTGTGTGTCAATTATTTCTCATCACAACCTTTCTTTTTTTTTTTTTTAGCTCAAGGAGAAATAGAAGCCATAGTCGTGCCTGTTTGCTTAGCATTCCTGTTGACAACTCTTCTGGGAGTATTGTTCTGCTTTAATAAGAGAGACTTGTAAGTACCTATATTCATATTTTCCCCCAAGCATTATTGATCTATAATTTACATACAATAAAATTCATCCATTTAAAAAAAATTTTTTTTAGTTGTAGATGGACACAACACCTTTATTGTATTTGTTTATTTCTATGTGATGCCGGGGATCAAGCCCAGTGCCTCACTCATGCTAGGCAAGTGCTCTACCACTGAGCCACAGCCCCAGCCCCTAAAATTCATCCATTTTTAGTTTACGGTTTGATGAAAGTTTGCAAAAGTGCACAGATGTATAACATTTCCATCACCCTAAATTTCTTCATTATTTATACTTATCTTCCTCCCTCAACCCTTGACCTCAGGCAATTAGTAATCTGTAACTATAGGTTTGCCTTATCTAGAATTTCATGTACTTGAAATCAAACAGCTTGTAGTCTTTTGTGTATGATGTCTTTCACTTAACATTTTTGAGATTCATGTTGTTGCATTTACTTCTTTTCTCCTTTCTATGGCTGTATAGTATTCTGTAGTATGGATATGTTAAAATTTACCCATTTGTTATGGAAGTTTGGTTGTTTCTAATCTTTGGCCAACATGTATAATAATGCTGTGAACATTCATGTGCAAAACTTTGTATGAGCCTATGTTTAACTTTGTAAGAAATTGCTAGACTTTTTCAAAATGGCTACACCATCTGGCATTCCCACCAGCAGTGTTCCGTACCATCACCAACACTTGATTCTGTCAGTTTTTCATTTTAGTGGTTGTATAGTATTGTCTCATTATGGTTTAATATCCATTTCCTTGCTGATTATTAATGGATCTTCTCATATGTCACATATCTTCTTTTGTGACATCTGTTGGAAGTTTAAAAACTTAAGTTGATTTGTTAATATGGAGCTGCAAGAGTTCATGCTCTCATTACAAAGTTTTTACCAAATGTGTTTTGCAAATTTTTGTCCCAGGCTGTACATTGCCATTTTGTTCGCTTAACTGTGACATTAAAACAGCAGAAGTTTTTAACTGTGAAATCCATTTTGTTTCCTGCATTTTGTGTCATGTTTAAAAAATCTCTGCCTGACCCAGTGTCAAAAATATTCTCTCCTGTGTTTTCTTCTAGAAGTTCAGTAGTTTTCACTACCATCTCTACAATTTATTCCTAGTTAATTTTTGTGCACGGTGTGAGTTCAGGGTCAAGGTATATTTTTATCCCACAGATACCTAATTCTAACACCATTTATTTTTATAAGATTATTGTTTTGCTAGTGAATTGCCTTGGCACCTTTTCTAGAAATTATTAGTCTGGACATAAAGGTTTATATCTATTTCTGGACCCTCAGTTCTGTTCCATTTCACTCTGTGTCTATTCTCATGCCAGTACCACACTGTCTTGTCTTTTTTGTAAAAAAAAAAAAGAGAGAGAAAGAAAATCAATCATATTTTGTATCAGTGAATACTGATAATTGGAAATTATACATTTTTTGCTTTTAATTTTGTTTGGCTAAATTAAATTTTTAAGTGATTTTATTGCAGGATATCAGAGACTTTAAATTGAATACTGATTGAGTTTAGCCTTATTACGTTTTTTCATTGTGAATACATTAAGATCTGTATATATTTTAACAGTATTTATCCATATATATTTTAACAGTATATTTCTATTTGTCACAAAAAAAATAATTTGTTTAGCTTTGGGGTAAAGTGTAGGTATGTTTTGTTCTTTAGTTAATTGATTTGCTTCTTAATAGTTTTAGATGACCAGTTCAGAAAGAAAGAGAATATTAGTTGTTTATTACATGTGGTTCTACATATGCCTTTTTTTCTCTCTCTCTTCAGAATTAAAAAACACATCTGGCCTAATGTTCCAGATCCTTCAAAGAGTCATATTGCCCAGTGGTCACCTCATACCCCTCCAAGGGTAAGATAAAATGCATCTGATTTGTTTATAATGCACAGATATATTAGGATACATTTATAGAGTTTAACCAAAAGATAATCAGGCTGAATCAAAAAAGTAAATGTGTCAGGTGCAGTAGCATGCACCTATAATTAGCTGCTCAGAAGACTGAGGCAGTAGGATCACAAGTTTGAGGCTAACCTTGTCTCAAAATAAAACACAAAAAGGGCTGGTGATGTGATAGAGTGCCCCCTGGATTCAATCCCCAGTATAGGAAAAAAAAAAAAAAAAAGTAAATGAAAATAATATAGTATGTAGATGAATGTTACAGTCAAAATTTTAAATAACTACTTTCTGGGGTTCATTTCATAGCATATTTGATATTCCTAATTCTGTTCATTAAACATTACAAATATTTGATTAAACTTGCAAACTGAAAACTTGAAGTGCTAAAACTGCCAATGTGAGAGAAACTGTTATGTGAGCATTCAGGATTGGATTTGATATTTAAATCTGGTTTACCAATCTACTGTTTTAATACTGATGAAATGATTTCTAGGATTTGAATGAAATGATTTCTACACTAAATTCTTCAAACTAAAAATATGTCCTAGGTGCTGGGACTGTGGCTCAATGGAAGTGCACTTGCCCAGCATATGTGAGGCAGTGGGTTCGATTCTCAGCACCACATAAAAATAAATAAAATAAAGGTCTGTCAATGACTAAAAAAAAAAAAAATTTTTTTTAAAGTCCTAAAGGGCAAGTTGTTTGTATTTATTATCCTCTTTGAGTTTTTATATTAACAAATTAAAGATGTGTTGTATATTTTTTACCTTTTATAAAACCTTACTCATTGAAGTTGTTTTGTTTTCTTGGTACTAGGAATTGAACCCAGGGATGCTTTACCACTGAGACACATTCCGAAGTGCCCCCACACACCTTTTTTTTTAAAGATAGCCTCTCTCTAAATTGCTGAGGCTGGCTTTGAACTTGAGACCCTCTTATCTTAGCCTCCTGGATCACTGGGACTATAGGCATGCACTATCATATCCAGCCTGATTTTTCTTGTTTCCTAGTTTTGTTTTGTTTTTTTAAATCCATTTAATCCTAGGCTGCCTGCTCTAAGCACAAAATACTAAATGTTATTTTTAGACCATTAGCTATCAAAATTTAACACCAACAGTATTGATTTAGAAATACTAAGAAACTTATTCATTAGCTCATTTTACGTAACATTATCTGCAATTTGGATAGTTGACAGTCATTTAGTGACATTAATTCCACATCAGTGAAAGTCATTGAGAAGTTTCAGAGATGTATTAACTGAGTGTTATGGCAAAAGTAATAATCCACTTTTTCTCTTTACTAGCACAATTTTAATTCAAAAGATCAAATGTATTCAGATGGAAATTTCACTGATGTAAGTGTTGTGGAAATAGAAGCAAATGATAAAAAGCCTTTTCCAGAAGATCTGAAATCACTGGACCTGTTCAAGAAGGAAAAAATTAGTACTGAAGGACACAGTAGTGGTATTGGGGGGTCTTCATGCATGTCATCTTCTAGGCCAAGCATTTCTAGCAGTGATGAAAATGAATCTACACAAAACACTTCAAGCACTGTGCAGTATTCTACTGTCGTGCATAGTGGCTACAGACACCAGGTTCCATCTGTCCAGGTCTTTTCAAGATCTGAGTCTACCCAGCCTTTGTTAGAGTCAGAGGAGCGACCAGAAGATCTGCAGTTGGTAGATAATGTAGACAGCGGTGATGGCATTTTGCCCAGGCAACAGTATTTCAAACAAAACTGCAACCAACCTGAAACCAGTCCAGATATTTCACATTTTGAAAGGTCAAAGCAAGTTTCATCAGGCAACGAGGAAGATTTTATGAGACTTAAACAGCAGCAGATTTCTAATCATAATTCACAGTCCTCTGGATCTGGCCAAATGAAAATGTTTCAGGAAGTTTCTGTAGCAGATGCTTTTGGCCCAGGGATTGAGGGACAAGTAGAGAGATTTGAAACAGTTGCGATTGAGGCTGCAATTGATGAAGGGATGCCTAAAAGTTACTTACCACAGACTGTAAGACAAGGTGGCTACATGCCTCAGTGAAAGACTAGTTCCTTCAACTTCAACACCTATGAAATAAAGCTAAAAATATTTTGTCTGTGACTTCAGATAAAAAACAATCTTCACTCCCTGAAGATGATCATTTGCCCTGAAGGACAAAAATCTTACCTGGACTGTTTTCATTCCAGAACAACTGGGATTTTACTTTAAGCACTACAGAAACTGACTTTATCCTCTGAATAGCTGAAGACTTTGTGCTCTTTTACAATGTTTGCACTGAAGAAAAACAGAAAGCTTATCTGAACTTTATGGAATTAAACTTTATGTTTTACTTTACATAGAAAATAGCATTTACATAATGAGCAGCAATCGAATAGTCATACTGATTTTGATGAGAATAATCATCAAAAACAAGTGGCTTAGGGATAGTTAATGTAAAAAAAGAGGAGCAAGATCTAGATCCTTTACTTCATCTGACATCATAATTTAAAAAGAGGTCCATAGGGCATGACTATCTGAGCCCATCTTTTGAGGTCTCACAAAAGAAATGGTGGGGGTAGTTCATTTATAGGACACAGAATATACTTCAGTTCCCTTGTGTAGGTAATGATGCTGCCAAATGTTACTGGAGAAAAGGAACTCCAGAGCTCTAACTTGGCAGATTAAAAATATTTTTAATATTATATAATCGAGATCTTACTAAATTTAAAAAATTACTAACATCCTCTTTTAAGATCCATTTCACAAATTAAGCAGAGGGCCCTTATAAGAGCTAGGAATAAACATCACAAACTATCTCAAGAATCTTAAAAATTGTTTGTCATTTTTAAGACAAATTAACATTTTATATATATATGTGTAAACATCATTGACCCTTGTTAAAACTTCACAGAATTTGGTTAACTCAAAGCACTTTGTACAATGTCTGCAGCTTAAAATGTATTTTTACTGAATATGCCTTGTTTTTAAGTATACCAAGCTTTAAATTTTTCTAATAAGTGTTTGAAGAAAACTAAGAGGGCAGTATTCATCAGAACAAAAATGGAACCCTAAAAACGTACATATTGATTATAGTATGAGAGGTATTTTTTGTTTTGTTTTGCATGGGTAGGGATCAGTTTTTGTTTTCTGTGTTGCCTGGGCTGGCCTCAAACTTCTGAGCTCAAATGATCCTGCCCAGCCACCCCAGTAGCTGGGACACAGGCATGTGCCATGCACCTGCCAAGAATAGTATTTTATTTTAATATCTGCCTGTTCTGAGGTAGAGTGGAACTTAGTTCTACATTGTGATATAGAAATATTTTAAACCTCTCCCAATTCTGTTCTTCAGGGGAGAAGCGAGCCAGGCTTCCAGGGTTTAGCTTAAAGTCACTAATTCATTTGTGCCATCCTCTGATAACCTATGCATGACCTGAAGCAGGGGTTAAAGAATGGGGTTGAGTAAATGAGAAGAAATTGTCATGCTCTATTAGTGGTTAACTACTACCGTCAAGTGAATTCAGAGGAAAAAGGTTTTATTTTTTACTAGTAAGTTTCAGAAAACAGGCAGACTTAAAATAGTTTGTAGATGTTATTAAAGAGTAAAAGGCTAAAACATTGTTATATATTTGAATTCTTTTACTTGGAATATTGTTCTATTAGGCTTCCTGCTATATTTTATCATTTGTGTTCTTGCATTTATATAATGCCTAATACTTTTCTGAGTTCTTTTACATATATGATCTTTGTGAGAGTAGATGCTTTATTCTGATATCTAGTTTCCTACTTTGGCAAAACCAACTTGAGATTAATAAAATGATAGAGTAAGGAGATGAAGAAAATAGGGCCCAGAGAGGTCAAGAAGGGACAGAGAGACCCAGATTCACACTACAAGATAACGGTGTCACCAGCATTCTAGATGGCCATCAAATGCTGGTCCAGGTCAGGACTAGATGTATCTTTTGCTATGTATATTTCTGTCAGGAAATTTGTACCTATTTTATTTTTTATTTCCTCAAATTAAGTAATGATGTTATTGTGATCATGTTTAACTCTACCCTTCCTCATAACAAATAGCAGTGTTGTGAAGAACATTGTAAACTTTGTACATTTGGGGGAGCATTTATAAAATGTGAACTCATGATCCAAGGGCATGAGAATGGAGGGTCATGGAAGAAAGGACTGCACGTAAGTAGATTTGCATGATGAATCCCATATAGAAGATGGTCCAGTGAGTGAATGCCACAGAGCACTTTAGACATGTTACGTGGTTACATTTGTTACTGTGCAAAAATTCATTCAGGAAAAAAATATTGGCACACCAGTAAGTAATGTACACTTTGCCCTGAAAAGAAAAGCAATCATAAAACTTGTTTTAAATACAAAATTACTTTTCTAGAGCATGTTTTAGAATAATCTTTTGATGCATGTACATTGTATTATAGGTAGGCAGAGAAATCTGGTTTATTTATGTAAAAACTAGTCTAATAAAGTTAGTGGATTTATTACTCTTTAAATTGTTAGTGTGGTTTAATGCTAGTTCGCCAGAAGACAGTGTCTTTGTGGACAAAATTAATACACTGCTTCTAATGCAGTTTGCCCCTATTAGGATTAAAAAACAAAAACCAACCTATGTTATATGTGTTGCTATTGTAATTTAACCATCAGTTACTGGTCTTTTGGTATCCTACCCTTAGCTGTCATAAAGGATAATGCTGAATAATTATCAGAAAATTAAAACTTCAGGCTTTTTCTGTTAAAATATAAATTTTTCATCCTTTTTTAAATATGAACACACTCAACATTTGAATAGAACCAGGGAGAAAAACACAAAACCATTTATGTCTTCATGCCTGTTCTCTACCTAGTTCATTTAACTTCAGCCTTATTCCTTGAAAAGTGATTCTACCACCTAAAGTCCACCCAGTGACCCTAGCTCTTATTTTGAAATTAAAGGTTAATGAAGTTTGTATACTTATAAGATACTTATTTATTAAAGCTCATATTTAAGGTAGTTTTAGAAATAGAAATCAAATAATTTTTAAATATGTAATTTTTTGCCCATGTTAACTAGTTAAAACTATAATATATATATATATATAAAAGTATGATGATCAGATAGAATTCCCAGAAATATTTGCCTATTATCATATGTTTAACCAAGGAAATCAAGAAGGAGAAATATTCCTCCATTCACTTATATCCTACATCATTCTCCTTTTTTATTTTACTCAGCTGGTTTTAAGAGCAAATTTCTAAACCACATACTTGTGTTTCAGTAAAATTTTATTATGGTGAAATGAGTAAAATATCAAAACAATAAGCTATGTAAAACTTAATTTTTAAAAAATAATTTAACATTATTTCAAAGAATTGGAATAGCTTTCTATTATAGGCATCACTGTTACATTGCCCAGGTAAGATTACTTTTTTAATTAAAAAAAAAATTGTACTTTATGTACATTTAGAAAACACACAGCCATAATAATGGCCAGCTATTTAGGATTAGTCTAAAACTGGGGATTATCACAGACTGCAAAGAAAAAAGTACATACTAGCAAGCCTACAGCCTAATTCTTTAGACTGGTCCTTGGCAGCAGTTCCTTTTCAGATTGTTAATAAAGTGAATTAAAATATAAGTCAAAAAAATTTTTCTAAAGTCAACAATATCTTTTGGATTAGTTGATTTTTCCCATCATGTATTCTCCAAGTCTGTGCATTAGCATATGTTCTAGTACACACAGCATTAGATAAAAGGTGCAGCTCAGGGTGAGCTCTTCTGTTACTTACTTGTTCCTATATTTTTAAAGGCTTTTTGCTATCAATAACTCCCTCAGACTGGTTAGTTTCATTACCCAGTTGTTGACAGATAATAATGAAAATGCATTCAAGGCCGGTGGTGATAAATATTCCCAGTCTTTATCCCTTGAACACATGCTTTGGTAACTACAGGTTTCAAATGCCGTTACATGAATACCAAAATGATGTGTCAGAAACAATTTAAAGATGGGTATTTGAGAACTGTTTGTAGTCTTTAATGTGCATTATATTAAATGATATACTTTAAATGTGCAATTTGCTAGCACAACACGCAGTGATTAGCATTAGGCGTGTGTCATGTGTACATCCTAGCCGTGCCCTATATCTTGTAAGTACAATCCTTTATGTTCACATGCTGTCTCACCCCACCTCATCTGATTTCATTTGGAAGGCTCTTGTATGTATTTTTAAATTGCAGTGAATTGTGTGTGCTAATTAAAACCACAGCTGTCATTTTTATGTTGACATAACTCTAAATATTATCATAAACATTTTACTATATATCAATTCTAATCATTTAAGTAAATTTAAGAAATAAATTCTCATTAAGTTTTTTCTGTGTGTGGTTACAACCATCTGTCCTGCATAATGCTTGAGGTAATAGCAGTTGTCAGTACTAGCATTGGTTAAATAAGGGCCTTAGTATAAACACAAATGTTTTATGAGTTTCTGTGGTTTTTTAACTGTTCATTTGGCATCATGGCATAGGATTAAGAAGAAAAGCAATACAACATCATAGCCTTAATAATGTAGAATGGAGATGGCAGATTTCATTTACCAGATTTTCTCCATGAGTTCTGGAATCTCTTGCAGGGATGAAAGGGACCTAGCACAGAGGTGCATGCCTTCCTGTGGCCTGTGTATGCCCACACTGTACTGTGTTTCCCTCCTTGTTGGGAGACCTGAAGCAGGTTGACACACAGCATCCCACTGCTTCCTCTTGAGATCACTGAGTAAGAGTTGATGAAAATGATAGAGTCAACAAGCCCACCTGGAAAAAAAAAATTGTTACTAATGGAACTTTATGCCTTCATATTATGATTTCATCTAAAATATGCAGTGAGTAAAAAAAAATCCACAAACCAATGTTTTATCCCTTCAAATCTATTATCAGCATTTATAGAAATATCTTGGCTCTAGGCCATGTGTTCATTTTTTTAAAATCACATGTTTTGCTGTGTCTGTTTTTTGGTTTTGTTTGGCAGTACTGGGGAGCGAATCCAGGGGAGCCCTACCACAGAGCTATATTCCCAACCCTTGTTATTTTTTGAGACAGGTCCTAAGTTGCACAGGCTGGCCTCCAACTGACAATCCTTCTGCCTCAGCCTCCCAACTAGCTGAGGTTACATGCATGGGTCACAGCACCTGTCTCAGCCTGATGTCTTTAATGTTATATGCCTCTTGTCTGATCCTAATTTGTACAATGGATATAGGCCTTCCTGCTTCCACAAAGATTGCCTATTTTGTTTTTCTGGCTTAAAGGCCAAGAAATGATTCAGGATTACTTAACTTTCCATTTAAACTTTGTTCTTTCTAAAGTAATAGCACACATTCTTTTTTAGACTTTCAACACATAAAACATTACCTCAGTATGTATGTTCTTCCATACACAGGTAAGTCCAATGCTTTGGCTAGTTAATGGGATAAACAAGAGGGTGAGAAAAGGAGCATTGAGACAGAAAAGGAGAAAGTTTGGTGAAGCAGCAAGTCTGGAGGTAGTTGGGGCAATTGTATGTTTAGGCTGCCTCTCCACCATCCTAGAGAAACCTTAGCCAGCTTCTTCATTTCTCAACAGCTTAAAATAGTTCTGTCTCTACTGAAGGAGAAAAAACTAACTTTATTCAAAATTCTACACTTTTAAAATGATAGTTATTTTCTCCCAACTGCCAAAGCAGATTTTTGTTTGTTTGTTAACTTGGGCTTTTTTTTCTTTTGTTTTTTTTTTTTTTTTTTTTTTTGGGGGGGGGGGTTGTTGTTGTTTGTTTTTTGTGGTGGTGGTGGTGGTGGTGGTGGTGGTGATGGTTCTTGTTACAGTACTGGGAATCAGACCCAGGGCCTCTTTCATGCTAAGAAAGTTCTCTACCACTGAGCTCCACCTCCAACCCTAACGGTTTTAATCAGTGAGAAGGTATAGCTTAGTTTTAGAAATCTATAGACAGAGCATTCATTAATCTCCAGGATATACAAAGAACTCAAAATAACACCAAGAAAACAAGTAACCCAGTCAATAAATGGGCAAAAACTGAACAAGCACCTCACAGATGAAGAAATACAAATGGTCAACAAATATATGAAAAAGTGTTCAACGTCTCAAGCAATTAGAGAAATGCAAATTAAAACTACACTGAGATTCCATCTCCAGTCAGAATGGCAATTATAAAAAACATACAAGTAACAATAAATGTTAGGTGAGGATGTGGGGGAAAAGGTACTTTCATACATTGCTGGTAGGACTGCAAATTGGTGCAACCACTATGGAAAGCAGTATAGAGATTCCTTAGAAAACTTGGAACCACCATTTGATCCAGTTATCCTACTCCCTAGTATATACCCAAAGGACTTAAAATTGGCATACTACAGTGACACAGCCACATCAGTGTTTATAGCAATTCAATTCACAATAGCCAAGGTATGGAACCAACCTAGGTGTCCTTCAACAGATGGATGAATAAAAAAATGTGGTATATATACACAGTGGACTGTTACTTCGCCATAAAGAAAAGTGAAATTATGGCATTTGCCAGAATATCATGCTAGGTGAAATAAGGCAATCCCAAAAAAACAAAGGCCGAAGGTTCTCTCTAATATGTGGATGCTAACCCACAACAAGGGGCAGGGAGGGGGAATAATAGAAGTCCATTGGATTAGACAAAAGGGAATGAAAGGAAAAGAGGGGGAGGGGAATAGGTAGGACAGTGGAATTAATCAGACATAACTTTTCCATCCTTGTATCTGAATACATGACCTGGGTAACGGCATCATGTACAACCACAAGACTGGGATCCTAATTAGAATAAGTTATACTCCATGTATGTATAATATGCCAAAATACACCCTATTGTCATGTATATCTAAAGAGAACAAATAAATTTTTTTTAAATCTGTTCTTTTACATTTATTCTTTGTGATTCTGGTGATGTCATTTTTACATATCAGGAAAACAACTAGAATCCGCGTGCTTGAACTTTTAGCCAGAACCATTCCCTACTTCAGTGGCATGTTATTTATAAAATTGTGCCTTTCACGAAGTTCTAGCTTACTGGGATAACATAGTGAAACATATAGTGGGACTCTCCACAAACAAAAGTGAAGAAAAGAAATAGATGAAGTGTGTCACAGTTTGCTTCCTCATAACCCTGGCAGAGGAGCCAGAGGAAGCAAACAGCCATAGTGGTTGGAACCCTGAGGGCTGGGTAACACCCACCCAGTGACTAGAAGTGGCATGCCTCACACCAGGCCCACTTTGTCAAACACTCTCATCTAGGTTACTGGTCCAGGAAACAACTATTACATACATAACAGGTCCCATAATGACGGGAAATTGTTTTCCTTCCAATTTTGGCCATGACCAGAATAATGCTATTGACTAATAATAGCTTTTAAATGGGCTAACAAAAATGCCATTGATTTTTTTGATTCTATCAACTTCTATGAGGGGAAAAAATCACTTTTAAATGAAAGGCCTGATAAGGAATAGCTTAACAAAAGGGTGCTCAAAGCCACTAAGGTTCCGACAACAGAAAACTTTTCTGCACAGGCATCCAAAAGTAAAAGTTGGTATGGTTTTGGCAACTATTCAGTCTAGACTTATACCAGGACTCCGGGGCCAGCATCAAAGTATAGGAAAAGACCTCTGAGGAAATCGAAGTTTAAAGTCAGAGGCTGATTATGTGGCTGGGATAAGAGGTTATTCGCTGCATGCCGAAGGCTGTTCCCCTTCAAGGCAAACCCTCAGACTTTTTTTTTTTTAATTTATTTTTTAGTTGTAGTTGGACACAATACCTTTATTTGTTTTTATGTGGTGCTGAGGATCGAGCCCAGGACCTCACGCTTACTAGGCGAGCATGCTACCACTGAGCCAGAATGCCAGCCCCTCAGACATTTTTGATCAGCTGACAGGGGCCACATGCTGACACAGGTGTCCAAGGGTGAGCAAATACTACCATCTATGGAGTGTGTGCTTTGAGTCATTAAATCCTTGGAAATATTTATGGGGCAAATGCCAGCACCATTTATAGACTTGGGCTCTGAGAGGTTGCATAATTTGCCCAGGGTCATGGTCAACAAATAGCAGAATGCAATTCTGACTCAAAACCGACTTTCCAAGCCCACATCCTTCAGTGTGTGGCCAACAGTACCAAATGGCTTTCAGCATGCCCAGGCCTCCTGGCAATACTTGTGGAGAACATTTGTTTTCCCAGCGCTTTCTGACCTGGAGTGTTTCTCCCCTCTTGTTGCTGCCTTCCCACCCATGAACACTGTGATCAGGTGCCCTCACACTGTGACCCCTCCCTCCTTTTTGAGGCACCCTAATCAGCCTTGAGCCCAGAGCAGTGTTTTGATCAGGTTCTTCCCCCTTTGGCCCTCATCAGAGTTCGCCCTGAGGCCTGAACTTCCCCTCTAGCACCTGTGAGTTTGCTCTAACCCATGTGGCAACACCTAAAAGAGAGGTGGACATTTTCACATAAACACACTTTCACTTGACACCCACAGTCTCATCATCTTGGCCAAAGAATCTTCTATTGCTGTAATCTGGCTTCAGCTGGTGACAGAAGGATCTGAGGACAGAGGACTGTTCCTGAGTACCCAGACAACATCCTTGCCCTCACTGGTTCTGTCCAGACTTCCCCAGCCTGTCCCACCTCAGGAGCCTCTGATTTCTGGTGGCGGCTACAGCTCCTGGTCTTCCCCTGCAGCTCCACTGGAGGGCAGCACAGGCAGCCCGCTGGTCCAAAAGCACTCTCTCCTTTTGCTTTCTGCCTGGCACCTCTTTCCAGCCTGACATAGCCTCTTCTCCAGCTACACACTCTGCACGTTTGCAGACCATACTGAGTTTCTTTGACCTTCCTAGCCTATGCACATGACTTCCTCTTATAAAATGGTCTTCAGGTCTCAATCTCCGTTTAGCTGAAAAATTCTTATTGTCCACCAAGAATCCACTCAGACAGATTCTTCTTAGTGAAATCTTCCAGCTTTCTCCTCTGTCCTTCCCCCAGAGTGAAGGGCCTCTTCTCTCCTGAGGCCATGCAGACGGCTTGATCCCCTTGGAGAGAGGGGCCCAGCTTAGTCACCTCCAGTACCCTAACACTTAGCATAGTTCTTGGTATATAGCATGCGTCTGTTAAAGCGCGCTATGTGAAGACATGAACAGACAGGACAGGATGGAGAAGGTGTTTGTTTGTTTGTTTGTTTGTTTTTAAAGGTGCTTTCATCTAACCAAGTGTCACATGGTACATGGACAATGAGGGATTTGCCTCCTCCCATCTCCAACATAAAGTTATCTCCTGATTCCTCCCCACCCACTCCCACCCCCTCCAAGTGCAAAGCCTTTCTT